AAGGGCGGCATACAAATAAATTAAATCTGAATCTGAATCTGAATCTGTTGCAAAATATGAAAAGGGCAGAATTTGCAAGCCTCTGATGTGCTTTTTATATCATTTTGATAAGCATGGGATCCTGTCGATTCCTCTGCTGTGATCATTAAGGTGCGGTTCTACTTTTCCTTTAAGGACTCAAAAGTTTATATAAAATTAATTTTTCCCTGTGGGAAATAGGCTGAAATATGAATTTATCTGTTATACACACTGGTTGTCCAGTTTCCAGCATATATCTTCAGCCGTGCTAGTAGGGAACACTAGGCACTGAATGAAATATCCGGAGCATAAGTTAACTCTGTGCTGCCATGAGTAGTTGAGAAATATGTTGGTTTAGAAATATACTAAATTAATATATAAATAAGTTCGAGGCAGCTACTCTGGTTCCCAGGAACAATATTCAGCCTACAATCTAATATCCATTTGACTCTCTGAGTGAACTCCATTAAATTCAGGGAGATTTGCTTCTGATTGTGCTGTAAAGTTCAAACCTATACATACTTGTTCAGAAATAAGATCTTCTGATATTAATCTCAGGCAAGGATTGCAACCAAAATGATTTATATCATGGAGGAAGCCTGTAAAGAAGAATATGACTTTTTAATGTTATTTCCTTATAAATTGTTCTGTATATTTTAGATCTGAAAATATCACGGCTTTAGTATTTTCACTCTCCCAGAAGAAAAGGTTCTGGAGCTCAAATCTCCTATTTTCTTTATGATTAATATTGGTGGATGCTACAACTTTTCTCAGATCATTTGAGAGGTATTTTGCACTACCTCTATACCTCAGTTTTGTGTAGACTTGAGACTTTTGAAGGCTTCCATGAATTCAGCTTCCTGGCTATCAAGCTTGACTTTTTCTTTTTGATTTGCTAAGAAAAGAGAACAGGGAGCCTTGTTTTCCAACATTATAACAATAACAACAAAAACAGAATTTAAAAATGTGCCAAGGTCATTTCTTTTTCATTGCAATTGCAATGCATTGTGAATAGCTTTGTTATTTTTCCTGCAAATGGTTCCTATATGCATTTTAAAATAATAATAATAATCCTAAAGCATGTAGCTTGTATCTCAAGACAGGCACCAGAGATGGTAGCCTTTTAAGCAGACTATGTTCATAAGTGGAGGTGTTGGATTCACACTTGAAATGTAGATTTTCTTAACCATCTTCAATGCCTGACAAGATTTTACCCTGAGAGGTACATAATATCACACACACACACACAAAAAATCCAGATACTTTTAAATCCTTGAAAATCCTCCCTTTTTTGCTACCTGCAATTGCAATGTATTTGGATTAAAGTCCAATGACTATTTTCATGAAAATCAATTGAAACACTCCCAATTAGTTAACTAGAAAGAGGAAATCAAAGTCTTTAATTCTAAACCTATGAAAAGGGCAAATTCTGCACACATTTGTGAAAATGTTCAAATACAAAGAGAAAGAAAACAAAACTATTCTTTCCAGAAATCTTTGTTATGTTTGTTTAAAATATGAAAAAAAAATCATTTTAAAAATGTGGAGAGTTGTAGAGACAGAAAATGTTCACTAGAATAGTGATGATCATAGGAAAGCAAAAATGGAAGTAGCAGTTATTAGAAAGAAGTTGGCTGAAGTTCTTTGAGATAAATGCCCAGGGAAGAATGACTTGTTTCACTGACAAAAGGGCGAACAACAAAACCGTGCCTGACTAAACTGCGGTGATAAAACCGCGTGTTCTAAAGCGCTCTGACGAATGAGCGCTGAATCGCGCCGACAACAGCGCGGAGACAAAAGTGTGCTGTAAAACTAAAACTAAACCTAAACCTAATCCCTAACGCTGAACATAACGCTAAACGTAACGCTAAACCTAACCCTTAACCTAACCCTAAACCTAACCCTAAACCTAATCCTAAACCTAACCCTAAACCTAACCCTTAACCTAACCCTAAACGTAACTCTAAACCTAACCCTAAACCTAACCCTTAACCTAACCCTAACCCTAACCCTAACCCTAACCCTAACCCTAACCCTAAACCTAAACCTAACCCTTAACCTAACCCTTAACCTAACCCTAACCCTAACCCTTAACCTAACCCTAAACCTAACCCTAAACCTAACCCTTAACCTAACCCTAAACGTAACCCTAACCCTAACCCTAACCCTAACCCTAAACCTAAACCTAAACCTAAACCTAAACCTAACCCTTAACCTAACCCTTAACCTAACCCTAACCCTAACCCTTAACCTAACCCTAAACCTAACCCTAAACCTAACCCTAAACCTAACCCTAAACCTAACCCTAAC